AATCGTCTAAAATAAACCTCTCGTTTAAAAAAGGGAAATAGAACATGGCACTGATTGTACATTCGAAGAGATAACCTTATAATTTTTCTGAAAATTCCAAGCTGATTTCCAAGAACATCATCCCCATCCGAGCAGCTAAATCAGCACTATCAATAGATGGCCTTTCCATCGAAAGGCTATCGCTTTGGCTCCATCGTTTCTTAGTCAGACAGCCTGGTGGTTATTATGGTGTTGGAATGGTGGAACTGTTGGCTTCGATTCCATTTCATTCGATTCAAAAGTGACTGAATGCGTCAGCACTGAATAAATAATCGTAGACGCCCAGACCTTAGTCAACGGCCAACTACAAGTTTTCAACATTAAATGTATATATAGTAGGCTCACAAACAGAACTGACCGCGTGGAGCTTTGGGTGTTTGGGGCCGCTTAACTTGGCCATTATAGGATTGTCGATTGCTCATTTGTTGACACGCAACACTGGCTTTTGGCCCAGGGCAGTCGACTGAAAATTCAGTGTGAGTAACACACAACGGCCGCTGAGGGGAGGTGGAATAATCAGCGAAAACAGCCGCCCAGTGCGGATTTCAGTTATTTTAGTTTGTTTGCTCAACCTCAACTATCCAATAACAACAATCAGAAAAGCCCCCTGGGGGGCTGCAAACTATGAATCAAGTGGAATTTACATATATTTGGTGTTCCATCTGCCTCGCATTAAAGGTAACAGCAGTAAAGGTTAAATCAACGAGGAAATTTCTATGACTAAAATTGCAGTAAATGTTATATTAAAGTTTGATTTAAAATTAACAAATCAACTAATCAAATTTTAAAATTTAAATACTTTTAACCGGATTTGGAGATCCAAAATAAGCACAGAAGTTAATTTTTCTCAAGTAACTTTTATACCCTTGCAGAGGGTATTATGATTTCAGTCAGAAGTTTGCAACGCAGTGAAGGAGACGTTTCCGACCCCATAAAGTATATATATTCTTGATCAGCATCACTAGACGAGTCGATCTAGCCATGTCCGTCTGTCCGTCTGTCCGTCTGTCCGTCTGTCCGTCTGACCGTCTGTCCGTCTGTCCGTCTGTCTGTTTCTACGCAAACTAGTCTCTCAGTTTTTGAGCTATCGGGATGAAACTTTCCCAAAAGTCTTCTTTCTATTGCAGGTAGTATATATGTCGGAGCCGACCGGATCGGACAACTATATCTTATAGCTCCCATAGGAACAATCGGAAAAAAAAAAACTTTAAAAAATTCTAACTTCGGTGTTTTTTGAAATATTACCTTCTACTTTTGGGGATGTTATTTTTTTAATATTTCTGAATTTCGAATTAATTATTTAAAAAATCGGACTACTATATCATATAGCTGCCATAGGAACGATCGGAAAATTAATGGAAAAGTAATAGGAAATAAATTCTAGCTTCTTTGGTTTTTGTTGTATTATCTTCTACTCTAGAATATGACTCTTTTTAAATATTTCCGAATTTCAATTTTAATTTTATCGAAATCGGACGACTATATCATATAGCTGCCATAGGAACGATCGGAAAATTAATGGAAAAGTAATAGGAAATAAATTCTAGCTTCTTTGGTTTTTGTTGTATTATCTTCTACTCTAGAATATGACTCTTTTTAAATATTTCCGAATTTCAATTTTAATTTTATCGAAATCGGACGACTATATCATATAGCTGCCATAGGAACGATCGGAAAATTAATGGAAAAGTAATAGGAAATAAATTCTAGCTTTTTTGGTTTTTGTTGTATTATCTTCTACTCTAGGATATGACTCTTTTTAAATATTTCCGAATTTCAATTTTAATTTAATCAAAATCGGACGACTATATCATATAGCTGCCATGGGAACGATCGGAAAATTAATGGAAAAGTAATAGGAAATAAATTCTAGCTTCTTTGGTTTTTATTGTATTATCTTCTACTCTAGGATATGACTCTTTTTAAATATTTCCGAATTTCAATTTTAATTTAATCAAAATCGGACGACTATATCATATAGCTGTCATAGGAACCATCGGAAAATTAATGATAAATATTAGAAAATTGAACATTTTTGCGATTTGTTAATTAATAGGAATGATCTGCAAGGGTATATAAGCTTCGGCTGGCCGAAGCTAGCTTCTTTTCTTGTTAGGGTCGTTTTCTCATCCGCCTGATAAATTTAACGAAAGCTTTAAACCCTATTTCTCATACGAGTTTCCTGTTAAGTTTCCATACGAGTTAAAGGTTTAACCCCTAAATAAAATCTAACTAGAGGATGAGAAAATGGACCTTAGAAAGTGTTTAAAGAAAATCTTCATAAATATGTTTTCGTTAAATCGCACAAAACGTATATAATGAAGGATAAATCTTTAAATTTAACAAGAACCCTCTTCATACTACAAGTCTTAACTAATTATTCTCCATTGATTCTCAGGGTACTTGAGGTTCGTGAGTACCCCGATTCCCAGTTTGGTGTACTCTATTCGAGAGTGGATGCCTCTGGCTGCCGCTTGTTGCTCCGTCTGATTGGGAATCGCCAGTTTGGCGACTGGGCTCGCACAGCTACACAGATACAGCTAGAGCTACAGCCTCATCTACAGATAGAGATACTCACTGCGGCAGAACTCGGAGATACAGATACAGATACTTTTGTACACATTCTTCGGCACGACGCTTGTCGACGTACTTGTAGCGTCTATAAAATCGCTTTATATTAAGCACCGAGAGCAGTAAATAAAACGCAAAACGCGGCGATCGCAGACGAACGGCGACGCCAACGAAAATATGCCTTGGAATGTTCAGATCTCCGAGACTCTCTGATTGTCGCCCATACGCATACGCATATATATCTCGAAATCTGCATGCTGCATCTGATTCTAAATCGGTTTCGGATTTTCTTGGCTGTAACTGCATGGGCTTTTGGGCCCGTGGGCTTGTTTGCCATTCCTTTTGTTGGCCACATCATGGCCGCATATTTGCATACGCCAGCAGCTGTTTATAGTTTCACATGTCAGCTAATTGAATCGGTTTAGCTCTGCTTTTGTACTTTTCTACTTCTCTGCCAGACATCAGCGAGACAGCTTAATCACTTGCGTCAATGGATTTGCTAGCTGCTTACCTGGCCGGAACGAAAAAAAAGATTGGTAGAACAGACGGAATGGCATCATTATGCCGGGCACTAGATTTTCCCGGGTAAAACCCATAAAATCATCAATAGACCCTCACTGCGAAGGGATATAATCGGGGCTTACTTGGCTGGCCACTTGACTTGACGCTCGTAAGCCTGGCGCTAGGCCAACAACAGCAAAAGGGCCTAAATCCTCGGACAGGTCAGACTTTTAGGCTAGATGCAATTAAAATTGGCACGGCAGCATATTCAAATTACACCCATTTCGAGAGTTTTTCGGGTTGAGCAGGTAGTTTTGGTTGGCCCTAGGTCACTTCTGGTGAAAATCCTTGCTGGGTTTCCTTTTTCACACAAATGTATCTTTGATGTCGTAAATGGGATTTAATTGTTAAGATGCTGTTAAAGATATTTCTTTATAAGAGGTTCCTAATGGCACTTAGAATCTGGTTATCTAATCTTTTACATCTGAAATATATTCAGTAATTTGGTGAACTTTTTTTAGAAAATAATTTTGGAAGTTATAAATATATATTTCTCAATTTTTTTTTATTTCTATTGAAAATGTAGATTGTTTTTCATTTTTATAAACAATTCTTTAATTATACTTTCAATCATGTTAGCAAATATTAAATCTTGATAATCTCAAATCCATTTATTATTCCATTAAAGGTTCCAAAAACTAAAAAATTAATATTTTTCAGGAAATTATTTTACAAAATTTTTAAATTAATATTTTCTTAGTTTCTATGTTAAGTTAGTTATGTTAAGTTTCTAAGTTAATTACAAATTATAATTTATCTGAACTTTAATTAATATATTCTTAATACAAAACTTGTCTTCCTTTTCTTTTATAAACATACGACTGGATGAGAAAAGTTCGGAGCCATTTATCGCAGTGATATCATTATTAATGGTATCTACGTCACGTTTGAGCTTATCGGAATGAAAGTGAAATGCGGCTGATTTCGGCCAAGTATCTATAATCGCATAATCTTCTCCGATACGGTTGCACACACACAGCTACACATGAACATCAAGATACGCAGATACTTTATTGTTGCTGATTTGTATAGATGTACGAGTGAGTACTCGCTGGTCTCACTTATACATAAATAAGTATATACCCCAAGTATCGGTGTGTGAACTCTGTTGTGAATCACGCCATTTGGCCTTATCAACCGAAGCTCTCATCGGCTCTATTTCATTATTTCATGCCTATGTACAGAGCACGCACTTTATCAATATTGCTTAGCACTCGCTTATGTATCTGTGAGATTGCTTTGTGCTTGGCACCCATAACAACTGTATTAAACGCCATTCGACATGAGTGGAAACCCATCTGCTTTCCCCACTACGATTACCCATAGATAAACATTACTATTTCCCTTTTTTTTCCCCGGAAACTTTTGTTGTTAGACCCCTGAAGGTCATTGCTATATCTCCCGGTATATTTCTCTATCGTAGATGTTGTAGATTCGATTGAAAACTATAGTGCGCCTTGGGTTTATAAACTGCGATAGCTGGTAACAGATTGCCAGCTTTTCTCTGAGTCATGGTAAATAAATTGATTGAGTTATCAGGCCAAACGTCGTATAGGCTATGAGATTTATACTCTGCAGTTGGGAAAGCGAAATTACTGGATGGGGAATTAAAGGAGATTTTTTGTCTGTTTAATATGAAGATGTGGTAAATCCTATTTCCGTAATGATGCATCATTTAAATTATATGTATGACTCCAATAATGGTATTTATATGGGACACAAGAATTCTACTCATTTTGAAAATGTTTTCAAATAAATAAAAACTGATTCATCATTATTTTTTTAATGACGCCTGCTATTTCAATTTGTATACAAAAACGTCAACTCACCTTTAAGTTTTTCACGCGCAGTTTCCAAAGCACTCTTGCGTGAATTCACAGTAGATTCTGAAAATAATAAAAAAACGTATTTTAGAATCTTAGAATTCGTTAAAGTGCTCTACATATACAATGTAGAATTTTCAAGTGCATTTTCAATGTTATATCTGAGACAAAGCTCGCCCACAAAACAGCCGCTGGCATTTCACTTGGTGACGTCAAAAACGAAGGCCAGGAAAATACCAAAGAGTACGGGAAAATCGAACCGAGGAAAGCACAACCGACACACACGTACAGATATACCACACATTTATAGACTTCATAGTCAATAAAGTATTCAAATGGCGTGGGGGAAAAACCGAAAAGAAGCAGAGCCAACTGTTGCCAATTTCCATGGGGGCGTGGAAAATCCGAAATGGCGGCAGACGGAGGCCATCAAACCAAGCTGAAAATTCATTTCCACCCAAATTGTTTACAAGCCAATTCGTTTGGGCTCTTTTCTGCTAATTTTAAAATAGACACACACACGCTTTGTGGGAGAATCTCTTTCTGCGCGTACCGATATAATTTGAAATATTTTCGCCGAGTTTTTCGCGCAAAGTGAACGTGAAAAACGCATTGACGAGTGGCCAAAAATACCACGCGATGTTCCTGCCAAATTGTGGCGAAATTCCCAATGAAGGCACTAAAAATACACCTAATGGGTATACAGCAAACCAGCGTTTCCGATGAAAAATCTTTCAGATTCGACTTTCGAATGACGCATTTTTCTCTTTAAATTGATAAGAACGATGGAAAAAAAATATTTTTAATTTTTTATACACGTTGAAATGTGTCTGGCGCTTACATCAAAAAAGTATTAATGCACTTTTGTTGTGTTTGTTAAAAAATATGTAAATGTTAAAAAATTTTTTAAATCGAACTATTCAGTAAAAAGTTATGGGCAACAATAAAATATTAAAATTCAAGCAGTGCAAGCAGTGGCTTCGCTGCATGACTTTTACTCGACTATAGCGTTCTCTTTTTTTTTTTAAATTGATTGAATAAGAAATATATTTAATAGATTTCCAACTAACTCCATTAATTTTTTATATCTTAGTCTGTTTTAGCTATGCCATTTAGGCTTTTTTACTTTTATTTCATTAAGATATTTTTATGTCAGGAAGTAGCCCATTTCCCATCTAGACCATTTAATAACGATTGATGACTGCTTATCGTCGGCAGTCGTCAATTTTATAGAATAGATGTTGTAAAGCACTCGAGTTAAGTCGCCTCGAGTGGCTGCACTTTGAACGCATCAGCGATAAGCTAAAGATTCTGATCCCCTCTTGAAATCGGGGCCCCCGTAAATATGCAAGTCAAATTGGCTAGAACTCGGGTTTTTGCTAGAGAACTCGAGAAAAAAGAGAGACAAGAGTTTGAGAGGAAAAAACCTGCATGCAAATTAAAGCAGGCACCAGGCTAACAGCAATGCAAGGCAGACGGCAGCCAGCTGGTGGCTATACACATGGCTAAGAAACCTGGCCAAGTGCAGAAATCGGAAAAGAAGTTGGCCCAGGTAGCCGCGAAAGCCGAGAACGCGGCCCCGATTGCGCACGCATCTCCAATCGCATCTCGCAAGTTCCAGCGTTTTTACCACCTGCCGCACTTGTTTATGGCCGCGACTTGTTGGCGACCAACTTTGGCTTCGGCTGCTGCTTCTCTTACTTTTTTTCTCCAGCCAAAGCGGAAACATGCGCATCAAAGCAAATACATGGTGAGAAAAAAGGTACGAAAAATTTCCAGCAATTAAACTTAAATACGAAAACTTTACCTGAGCAATAAATTCGTTTCTAAAAATTTGTTAGATTTATTTCAAGTACAGAAGTCCAAATCTATTTATCACAGCATACTTTTAGACACCTTATAAAGTGGATTTAAAAATCTAGAGGTTAATACAATTTTCAATATTTTGAAAACATTATTTACTGATTGCTGTGCCTTATAAAAATACCACATTTAATTTGTAGTTTATATAAGAAGAATTAAATTATCTTTTTTATATTAAGGAATAAATAAACTTTGTATATTAAAATTGTTAGCAAATTTAAAAATTTAGCTTAACCGTTTACATCGATTTTTTCTTTGTGCATGACAGATTGAAATTGGCAATGTCGTCGTCATCGCCTTTTGAGCCTCTTTTTTTTAGCTCTTGGACCGGGTCTTCTTATTTTTGCTCGAGAAAACTGGTTACGAGGTTGCTGCAACCAGTTTACCAGTTTATTCACTGAACGTGTGTACGTTTTTGAGTGTGTGTGTGTGATTGGGGGAAGCCTCTCATCGTCGTCGTCGTTTTTGTTGGGTTGTTGTTGTTGCTGGCTTACTAATTGTTGGCTCGAATGTTTATAGAACAATTAACATTTGCGGCTCATTACGCATACGCTGGGGCGCATGAGCTCAGCCAGCTGAGTAGCGATGCGATGCGATTCGATGCGATCATAGCCAGTGGGGCGTATGAGTAATGTCCCTTGAGGGGCAAGGAATACCGGAATACTGACAATGAAATGATTCAGCCAATTGGTGCTAGTTGTTTATTATTTTTAGAGATGTGTTCTGGGTGATTTTCGTAGTTATAAACAAATGGCTAGATGGATTCCAGATGAGCGAGGGGGTTTTCTTATAAACTTTGGTTTCTTTTAGTTTCAGTAAATAAAAAAAAATTTAAAATGACTAATCATGCTAATTCTATCTGAGAATACAAATGTTAATTATTATAGTTACTTCTCTTAACATATTCAGATAGCAATGATTTCTTTCTAAGAATCTCTTAATATTTTAAAAGGAAATGCCTTTTAAAAAGCATCAGCAAAATCCACTAAAGTTGTGTCCGGAGTCCGGAGGTACTAAAAATTCAATTCAAAGCGTCGCAATATTGCAAATCGGCCCACGCTGACAGATATATACAAATGCTCACACCCCCAATTCGCTTTGGGTTTCTCGTCGTTTTCAATTTCATTCTCAACTCAAATCGTGACGTATGAGGCCTGTTGATTGCGTAATATCAACTGCTGCTGCATTTTAATTTGATTTATTTCAGCCAAGTTTCGGTCAATTTGATTCACTTGCACTCCTGACTATAGACGAAAGAACAATATTCTATTTTGCTTTGTTCTGGGGTGATACAATGAAATAAAGAAATATAAATACCCAAAAAAAAATATAAATTAATGACAAATAAAAGTGCATTTCGAGCATTTTTTGTGGCTGCCAAATTTTTTGCAGCTGCTGGCACATTTTATTAAAGACAAAAAGAGCCAAAAAAGATATAGAAAAGAATATGGTTATGGATATGCACATGGCCCACCGCCGTCAGGCGACTTTGGGCAGCTGTTCAAGTTGGCTTCGGGACTTTAGCGGGGGTCTTGAATATATATATGCGACCCACATGGAAATATTTGCCTAACTATGCCAAGAATTTGGCCCATGTGCGTGTGGGACTTGCACAACCCATAAACGAAGGGGGTAGCCACATAGAAACTCACAGTCGTAGCCTGACAATTAAATGGCTTCGACTTCCCAGACGCGCTGAACAACTGGAGCAAAGTGCTGGAATTCCTGTGACTCGACATTGTGGCAGGCAGCAGTATCTACCAATTTGGTCTTATCTTTGAGAACTCGAGTACCTTCTCGCAGCGAATTGTCTACTTCTGTTTTTCCTCACTATTGCTTTATTTTTTTTTATACAATTTAAGTGACATCAGATTTCGCTTGCCTTGAGAGCTGGGTATTAATTGGAATTTTAGGCAAAATGTAATCCCAACAAAACCAAAAACTTGAGCGGGCTTTACTTAACAAAGTTTTGTGTTCCTTAAGAGCTTATTACAAATTCTGTTTCTGGGCTTGCAGTCTGCCATCACTTTACTTGTACAACTTTATTAAAAGCTTTTGGCAATGTTCGGAGAATCCTCGAACAACTTTAAGGATCGAAGTAGTCAAATATATGTAAAAATTTTAGAATAAATAAACAAACAACTTTATTAAATTGTATTTTTACTAAATATTTTCAGAACCTACTGTACAAAATTATCCCTATCGTTATTAATTTCAGAATTATAAAATTTTGAGTACATGGCCTTATTTTGTACACCATTATTTGATTCCAAAGCAAACTTCCTGGAACATATTTATTTTGTATACCATTATCTGATTCCAAATTTGCAAACTTCCTGGAAACTTTAATTTTTGCATGACAAATTAACCAAAAAATATGGAATTCCCATGTCCGAAATAATCAATTAGCGAAAATACGCTAAAAGTGCGGCGATATCAAATAAAATTATTGTGTGTATATAAATAGAGGGCGTGTGGTGGGCAAGGACATGTGACTATGCAAATGATTATGGAGAAATAAAGTGATAAAAGCAAAAAAGCTTCATAAGATCTCAAAATTCGATTGGCGAAACCGCAAGCGAAAATTAACAGCTGCTAGAAAAAAATAATAGTTCAAAGAAGTATAAAAGCTATTTGTGTATGGACCAAATAATACCTCGATCTCAAAAAGCATTGCCTACTTTTTGGAGATTAAACAACATTTTTAAAAGCATTGTAACTAAATAAGTTAGTTATTTGTTGATTTGTTATACAAATTTCTAAACAAATTTTCTTTTAGATCAAAGATTTATCCATACATAAAAATATTTTTTAGGATCTAATTTCTAATTCCTCTTTGTTTTATTGGTTCTTTTTTCCATATGAACACAATATACTCCTTAATTCTGCAAATACCTCGTATAAAAATAACACTCATCACTAATCTGCCTTTGCACACATACTCACTCACACATTCATACATATATCAATCTAAATATATGCTCGTCTAGTTGAATGAGCGCAAAAGGGAATGCCAAAACGCTGACACCGCAATTATCAAAAGTTATTCACTTTTTATGCTTAATTTCCTTTGAATTGCATACTCTCTCTCGCTCTCTCCCTTTTTAAATACTTTCAATTTGCGCTTTCAACTCGCTGTTCAACCGAAAAGAGAGGGAATTCCCTGGGTTGAAATTGAAATTGAAAGAGAGCTGCTAGTT